AAATACGTGCATAATGAGTCAACATGGTAAAGGTCACACTTTCGAGTTTGTTCGTTAGTCGTCATTTCTAATTCATCACAATGTGTAAAAAATAACTCGTACTAGTTGTAGAATTAAAAATAATCAGCTGCTACAATCAGCCAACGTCTTCTTGGTCAGAGGTCAGTTGAAGAGACTTTGTGATTGGCTTAGATGATTGTCAATTAGAACACTCATTAACATAATTACCCGTTGAAAAATCGACGGGTTCCTGCAGTGTCGATAGAGGGCCATGCAGAATAAACCAGTCGGGGTGATTTCGCAGTTACAGGGGACTTCGCTCTAACACCTCCATTTCGCAAATTTTTTTATTTTAATTAAACTACAAAAACAAATTAATCGTCCGACTGCGCCATTCTAATGTGCAGTATATGCCTGGGTGGTGTGTGTTCGCATAGATACTAAGATGTTTTGCCAAAAACAACTTTTTTTCAAAAAAAAATTCAATTCTGAAACATGTACCAGTTTTCAAAAATCTATAATAAAAAAAAAAAGCTTATAAAGCTGAAATTTTAAATGTGAAAATCGTCACCCAAATATCGCCTTATATCCATGAAATTACTTAATTTTACATTTGTTGGCCCCAAATTGTTTTCATGCTCAGATTTTGGATGGCAGAACCCATGGTGGTATATTTTTGTGTAGAAAAAATTTGAATGTTTTTCCTTAATTCCTTGTGCACTGCTGCCCTGTACTGCTTGTTCTGACCAATCAGAAGCTTAATAGTGCAGTATCGCATTTCAGTCCATGGTGTGCGAAATTCTGTTTTCATCCATTAGTGGCCATGCATATCAAAATTAAGTGAATACAAAAACATTCAGGTGACCAGGTTGGTGGTTGTGAAATATAAGTTTGTCAAATGTTTCATTTTTTGCCACATCTAGATCTTTAGATCTGACACACAAATATGTTTTACCTTGGACCTGTCTCACTCCTAGATCTTAGACCTGTCACACTTCCAGATTTTTACCTTAGACTTGTTGCATTCCCAGAACTTTACCTTAGAACTATCATACCCCTTTATCTTTACCTTGGACCTGTCTCGCTCTTAGATCTGCTACATTTTTACCTTGCCCGTACCATCAAAGATGGAAGGGAAAGGTATATTAAGGGGAAAATTTTGTCCGGCGTTGTC